AGGGCATATTTTTCTATCTGTATTATCACCTCATGATATTAATTTTAATAATTAACACAAACAATTACAATAAAAAATTGGTTTATAAATTGAACTAAAGGGAAACTATACATGCGAAAAACACGTATTTTTCAAATTTTAATGCATTTTCAGGAAGCTTGGGTAATTTTGGGAAATTTGCTGAATCTTGGGTAATTTCGACCCAGACATTGGGTATATCAAAAATTGTGAGTGGTCACACTGGTCTGTTCAACGGTAATCTGCTGACGTACCTAACCCTATAGGCGCAAAAGCCTTCAATGGTAAATGGTAAACTGCTGGCGTGCTTAACTCTAACGCCTATCATCGCAAACGTTGTGTAAACAATGCAGTTAAACCATTGTGGCAGCTACTAACTTAATCAGTGATTGCTATATTTTGTGATATTGGTGCTATAATATAATTGATATTATAGCTAGATAGTGACCAGCTACCATGCTTTTAAACACTACCGTATTTAATGCTTAATTTTAATCGCTATTTAATACTTAACCCTGTAATTGCTAATATTTTTTTTAATTGGTGCTATATAACTGCCATTATAAGGTATAGCTGGTGACCAGCTACTAGTATGCTTTTAATCACTTAATGCCCTTTAATATTTAACTCAGCTATAACTACGATGGCCCACAAGGGACACACTGCAAAGAAAAAGAAATGATGCAAACAAAAAAGAAATCATGGAAACAGAAAAGAAACGCTGCAAACAAAAAAAGAAATGATGCAAACAAATAAAGAAACGCTGCAAACAAAATAAAAACACTAGCAAACAAATAAAGAAACGCTGCAAGCAAAAAATAAAAACACCAGCAAACAAAAGAAAAAGCTGCAAGCAAAAAAGGAAATGCTGCAAACAAAAAAATGAAACGCTGCAAACAGAAAAAGGAAACCCTGCAAACAAAATGAAAAAGCCTTTGCGCCGCGCATTTCATATTAATTGACAACAGACTGAGGTCAGGTCAGATGCGCTGCAGGGCTACATCATAGTGTCAAGCCATGTTTTGCTCTAACTGTGGAACAAAAAGGGGTGTCTATAAAACGACGACCGAAGACCCAAAAACGAAGACCCCTATTTTTTTCTCGTTCATTTTGATAATACGTCATGCTGTCACAAAATCAAATTACGACATTTTTGGGCGTATGTTTGTGAAATTTTCAAGGGTCTTCGTTTTATAGACACCCTATATGGGTGTCTACAAAACGAAGACCCGAAAAACGAAGACCTCCAATTATTTCTCAATTATCTTATTGAAAGTATTTCAAAATCGTCATAAAACAGTTGCCAAGTACATGTTTCATTATTTTATCACGATTGAGAGAAAAAAATGTGGGTCTTCGTTTTTCGGGTCTTCGGTCTTCGTTTTGTAGACACCCATGGTGTCTACAAAACGAAGACCCTTAATTATCTCGTCCATCCTCTGTTGGTGTCACTACCAAATGACCGATGCTGCACATATGCGTCACTGTACCACATTCCTACTGTTTATTTTAACATGGAACAAGTTTATTGAATGAAATATTCAAGGTTTCTGTAGGTCCCCAAAATACGCGTACCGCTAGGCCAAGCCTTCGTTAGAGGGTTGCAGCGCCAAGACGCGCTCAGCCACCGGCCGTGGACGTACAACATTGGTTGTCGCTTTTGAACTGGAATAAAGGGTAAATCATTCAATTGACTCAGATTCAGGCAACAATGTGCTAAGAAGACGAATACTATATATACATAGCATGAAGTGATTTAAAAACATTATTTTATCACGATTGAAAGAAAAAAAAGTGGGTCTTCGTTTTTCTGATCTTCGTTTTGTAGACACCCATAGGGTGTCTATAAAACGAAGACCCTTAAGTATTTCTTGATATTCCTTGATATATATATAACGAATGAGCTGAATTTGAGTCTTCTTTTTAGCATCTCTCATCTGACCTGACCTCAGTCTGTTGTCAACTAATATGAAATGCGCGCGCGCAAAGGCTTTTCCATTTTGTTTGCAGGGTTTCCTTTTTTTGTTTGTAGCATTTCATTTTTTTGTTTGCAGCATTTCCTTTCTGGTTTGCAGCGTTTTCTTTTGTTTGCTGGTGTTTTTATTTTTGGCTTGCAGCGTTTCTTTATTTGTTTGCTAGTGTTTTTATTTTTTTTGTTTGCAGCGTTTCTTTTTTGTTTGAAGCATTTCTTTTTTGTTTTTAGCGTTTCATTTTTTGTTTGCTGGTGTTTTCTATTTTTGTTTGCATCGTTTCCATTTTTGTTTGCATCGTTTCTATTTTTGTTTGCATCGTTTCTATTTTTGTTTGCAGCGTTTCTTTTTTGTTTGCAGCGTTTCTTTTCTGTTTTCATGGTTTCTTTTTTGTTTGCAGCATTTCTTTTTCTTTGCAGTGTGTCCCTTGTGGGCCATCGTATATAACAGACAATATCACAATGATATAAACAGCAAATGTAGGACATTTGATGTTCTACAGCAAAGATATAGATATATTTTGTAAAATGGCTATATGACTGCTATTATAAGCTATGACAAGCTGTAGCTAAAATGACTAGCTAGGCCTATTACGATCATGCGCTTTAATGGCCCGTTCTACATCGAGTTAATGCTGTACCGCAACCTGGGTACCAACAATTAAGTGGCGGCCGCCAGATATTTATCTGGCGGCCGCCAGTTAACTGATTTGAAATTTGTATTCACTGTTGACACTAACGGGCTTCCGTACTAAATGCATAGTATTGTGCAAACATATTTACTTGATGGCGGTGTTTTGTGTTGGTTGTTTATTACGGAAGCGCTAAGTGTCATCTATTTGACGACTTGTCAAGATTAATTATCTTGTCAAGTCGACATAAAATACATATCATGTCGACTCAGGCACTGATAAGTTTTCCTTCCATGTCGACTTATCAACTTTTAAAAGTTGCCATGGTGAGATACATTATCTTGCCAAGTCCACATTATATAGTAAAAGTATGTTGTCATGGCGATATAGATTATCTTGCCAAGTTGACATAGTAAAATTATATGTTGTCATGGCGATATAGATTATCTTGCCAAGCCGACATAGTAAAAATTATATGTTGTCATGGCGATTTAGATTATCTTGCCAAGTCGACATAGTAAAAATTATATGTCACATTGGCGATATATATCTTGCCAAGTCGACATAGTAAAAATGTTATGTTGTCATGGCTTCCGTAGGGGAAAAATTGGAGAATGGTTGATAAACCTTATGCAGAGGTAATGGTATAGTTAGACTCGGAGATACAGACACAGACTTCTTTGCGATTAAACAGGGAGTAAATGTAAAGCAAGGCTGCGTCTTGTCCCCAATCTTATTTAACATTTTTATGAATGAATTTTAAAAGATTCTTGTTTCAAATAATCTTGGTATCAGAGTGAATGACACGTGGGTAGGGGGATTATTCTGGGCTGATGATGTTGTCTTATTATCAAATAATGAGCATGAAATGACAAAGATGCTCAATCTTGCAATATTATTTTCTAAAACATGGAATTAAATTTTAATTTAGACAAATCTAATATTCTACTTTTTGGAAAAAGAATTGATAAAGTAAAACAATGGAAGTTATGGTTTCATTGTTATAGTGGAGACGTACAACTATCTTGGAGTTAATATATCCAGAAACTAAATGATAATGTTACAATCCAGAATGTAATTACAAAGTGCAATAGCCTATATTGCTTATATTAAACCATTGATTGATAACTGCAATAATTTTAATAGGATATTTATGGGGATAGGACTATTTTATGGAGAACAATGAATTGGTCTCCTATCTATAAATTATGGCAATTATGTATAGTGAACTTTTGGTTGGCTGCCAATATTGGCTGCCGATATTTCGCGCATAAAATATTTTCATCGCAATACATATGGAATCACATCGGTGGCCAAAACTTTACTTAAGGCTTTACTACGCGTGGATAGTAACTTTGATAATTTCCGTTTTAAATCTCTTAAATGTGTTTCCAATGTTTTCTCAAAATGTGAATCAGAAAATTTATTTAAATTAATATGTGATACCATTGATTAGCCTATCCCATCGGAAATTGGACCAACTTAATTTTGAATAGGGCCTAAACTTAAAGAACACGTTTGTACTGATAAGTAATCTTGAACAAAAATCTTCCCTTTCAGATTACTCAATTATTAAGGAAAGCCCTTGCCTAGAAAAATATTTACTTGAAACTGAGGGCGCTTGCATAAAATTTAGATTATGCTCCAATACTTTACCTCTACAAAGACGAAATCTCAAGTTGGTACAATGATAATGATGGCATTTGTTCTATTTGTAGCTCCGATTCAATATTAGACATTTTCTTTTTTCATGTCCTTTCCTCCATAACATCAGATTGGAAGGACTAGCAAAGCTTGAACATGAAATAATAAATACAAATAGGCCCCCTAGGCCTATTTGGAACCAATTTATAAATTCAACAACTGATTAGAAGTTTACGTATGTTCTTGGCTCTTTTTCACTAAATCTTCCAAAAGAAATTGAAGAAAAATTTGACATGTTTTGTAAAAAGTGTGCTAGAAGGGCATGGAAAAAGAGAAATGAAATCAAAAAAGAAAGTGAACGTTTTTGACTTTAGTCCTGTATTATTTATATGACTTTTGATTTACTTTATGTGCATCTGAATTGTCTTTTTCTTAGCATAAGTCTTTTTTGTGAACTTTACTGTACACTGTATTGTTTTTGACGCACCTTCTATTGAGAAGTGTGCCACTGATTGAAAAGTGTAGTTCCTATCCCGTTCGCACATAATGTGTACAATTGTACACACATAGTTCTATGGCAAACTGTATACAAGTGAAAGGCAATTGAGGCATTCAGATACTATGTGTACAATCGTATCCATACACATAATACTAAAAAATAAATTAAAATGTAGAGCGCCCTCGTGTGTTGTCAGCAGAATTACACAATCCAAGATGTCAGCCTCCATGGAAAAAGCATGCCCCGGAGCAGGTAATATTCCTTTCAAATTTGATATGAAATACCTCAATGCACTAATTAATTTCTACTCATAGTTGTTGTATAGGACCCATAGAATATGTAGGTTACTATATTTGATAGATTGCTGCAGAATGTTTTTTAGCAGAATTTTTTTTTTAAGTGTGTGTACAATTGTACACAGTGTGACTCACCTAATCATTTGTCGATACATTGTGAACAATTAGAAATGACTTCCTGTTTGTACATCTTGTGGCAATACCCCCTAGAAGGCCTATTGTTAAGCAGATAATCGGGGGTATACAGGCCAGAATTAGTCAACATAGATTTACTGCGGAGGAAATACTAAACCACCTAGATGATTCAGATTTTGACATATCTGACACCGAAGAGGAAGATTCTTCAGATGAAACCTTCAATGCAGACGACGATCTAGACTCTGATGAACATGATAACAGTGATTCAAATGATGATGACGATGACGAAGAAGAACAAGGGGAAGAAAATACTGAAAAAAAACAAATTAAGTGGTATACAAAACCATTTCAAGCTGGAAATACAACATGGAGGGGAGATTTTGATTTAGGTGCACCACTGGAAACTCCAGCAAAATACTTTTTCAAGTATTTCAAGCCAGAGATTTTTACAACATTTGCAGAACAGACCAACATTTACTATCTACAGAGCAAGGGTACAGAAATAGCCACTACTGAAAGTGAAATGCGGAAGTTCTTTGGTGCAACAATCCTCATGGCGAATCTTCGCTTTCCACGTATTCGGATGTATTGGCAATACATGACGAGGGTTGACAGGATTGCTAATGTAATGCCTGTTAACAGGTACTTCCTACTCCGTACAAATCTGCACATAAATGCAGCTCGAGAACCTGATGCTGGCAACACAAACAAGTTCTGGAAGGTAAAACCTGTTCTAGATGCAGTCCGAAATCGCTGTGTTGAGCTACCCCGTGAGGAGTACTGTGCTGTAGACGAGCAAATGATACCGTTTACTGGGCGAGTCCCCACTAAACAGGTCATCAAGAGTAAGCCCAATCCAGTTGGAATTAAGAACTTTGTACTTTGTGGTAAATCTGGAAGGGCACTGGATTTTGAGTTCTATCAAGGGAAAGGGACAGGTATTCCACAAGAAACAAAGCATCTAGGGCTTGGTGCTTCAGTGGTTATTTTACTAACAAACACTATACCACGACAAATGAATTACAAAATTTGTTTTGATAATTATTTCACTGGTATTCCACTTATTAGAGAACTAAAGTCAAAGGGAATACTTTCCGTTGGCAATCGGCTGATGAATATTTAATTTTTTTTTTTTTTTTTTTTGTAATAACTACCCAAGAAGGTGTCAATAAGCATAAAAAATATTTTTTTGGTCATAGCATTTTTTCTCGTGATCGAAGGGGCTAATAAATTATTATTATCAAAAATGTAGCACTGACAACTATATGCATTTTCTTGCCATTTTAAGACTAGAGAAATTCAACTTTCTAGAGTCATCTAGGTATCCAGTACACTCATATCAGCTGCTGTTGTCGCACTTGTAGCCACCGAAACTGAATGGCAAAAATCGATAAAGCGCTGGTTACGCTTCACTTAACAACTGTTGAAAGTAAATCCCGTTGAATTCACAATACTACCAAATTACCTAATTAAAGTATCGTTTTGATTTTCAAGAAAATATTCACAACAATAATATAGTCCTTAATAACACAAACAATGATATTAAAATGTAGCAACAGTTAATCATTTTGTTTGACAATCTAAAGGGCCTTATTAAAAATATATTAATGTTTTAATTAAGTTAGTTTTGTTGTAGGCCTGCCTGTGCCTTTTACTGTATATTAACAAACGAAAGAGGTAAGAACGTAAGTGAAATCATTTATTGACTTCCAATTAATACAAAATTGACATCAAATGTATATGTACCTCCTTTATATTGCTTAATTACACAGCAAACCCTTGAAAAAAAAAAGATTTTGTACTTAACTTATTAAAGTACTATATATTGGCATTTATAGAGGGCGATGTTGATATAATTCACATCTCCAAAGGCATGGAACTATAAATTGATTACTTTTTGTCAACTGTTACTGCGAAAATTGCATTGCTGTGTCATCTTTTTTATTAGTTTTTCAAATTATTGTCACTCGCGTTTTTCCGTGTGGTGCATTAAAAATACAGTAAAGAAAAAAAACAAAACAAATGAAGCAAATCTTAAACTAGAAACACAATTCTAAATCCATTAAAGAGACATTTTACATGTTATGTTGTGTTTTATACCCTAAAACGATTAAAAAACTAAAATTATAACTACAAGGGGTAACTATAATAATTTGTATTATTAATTTATTAGTATTATTTATTTCATTTAAACAACTATTTTCTTAATTGTATTAGATA